TATGATTTATTTTAAAGAAAAAATTATTTTACCCTAACAGATAAACATCATACGTATGGAATATAATTTTTCAATTTTCTTATCGATCTTATCGAGTGATTCATATCGATCGTATTCTCTTTATTCCTATATTGATTTGGTAGATTGTTTTATTTTATTTTTCTCTAATAATCATTTATGTCGTTTGTTATGATTCGTTAATTCGTGATGATTTGTTAAGATAACTTATAGCGATTTGTAAAATTAACGATTCGTTTCCTTTCACTTCTTATTTTTTAATTGGATTATTTTAATTTTTTCTTTGGTACCTTTTATTTTCTATCTTTCATCTTTTATCTTTTTTTCTTCGAGAAGTATTCGATCGATTTGCCTTTTCCTTTTTGAACAGGCAACGATAGAAAGCAAGGGAAACGCAAGGGAAGTGGTCGTCTGCTTTTGGCGTGCCATTTTCTCGAATCGTCGAGGCAAACGCGAGGAGGAGGAACAAGAAGAAGAAGAAGAAGAAGAAGAATAAGAAGAAGAAGAAGAAGAAGAAGAAGAAGAAGATATTTCATTTTCAACGGCGATCGTTTTCGTTCGACGCAATATGTGTATCCCTCGCTTTGTGTAGAAAAAAAGAAAAAAAATAAAGCAAGAAAGAAAAGAAAAGTAAGGGGAAAAAGAAAGAGAGAGAGAGAGAGAGAGAGAGAGAGAGAGAGAGAGAGGAAAAGAAAATAAATAAATAAAAATGTCGATGATCGTTGGAATTCATCAACGTAGCCAATGTTTCGTCATAATTATTATCAAGAAGATAATCACGGTAGGTGGTTAATTAAAAGAAAATATTTTTTGATCTAGCTTAGCAATTTACCGTCAATGATTCGAACTGATTAATTTAATATCAAATGAAACGTAAGTATTTAAAAAATATTCTTGGTAGTTGTTCATCTACAAAGAGAATTAACCCTTTGAATATCAATTCTAAGTTTACCCTTAGGATTGAATCTTAAGAAGGGTTTACCCTTGGTCCTCTGTACGCTTCTATGTAAATGAGATACTAGCTTCTATATCTTTCCATGGAATATTTCTCCCTAGCAAAAACCAATAAACTCATGGGAGAGTTAATTAAACGTATACGTAAACACACGCGTGCGTAATCGTATCTTGATTGATGAATGTATAACGTAAAAGTTAAATACTTGTGTATGTGTATTTATCGTGTATCTATTAAATCGATATTTTCAATGATTAGATTCGACGATGAGAAAATTATCGCAAATTCTACCGAATTTTTATCAATTGTATCGAACTATGTTGGCTGGTCTATTGGTATTTCTTTTCTTTTTTTTTCTTTTTTTTTTTCGACGATTTCAATTTTAAGAAAAGACGAGTCATTCGAATGATAATTAATGATAATATTTTAACGACGTGAGTCATTATTAATATGTTCCATCGTATTATCAGTAAAATTTCATTGTAGAATACATTACAATGGGCTCTTTCGTAAAGCGTTTATCTTTTTTTTTATCTTTCTTTTTTTCTTTCTTTATTTTTTTTTTTTTATTTTTTTTTTCCTCCAGGAAAACTCCAAATAAGATAATGATTTTACAGAGATGAGCAGAGGAAGGAGAATGTTCGAGGTTACTCGATTTCGTTCTATGTCGTTTTAATCAATCGCGACGAGCGATGAGTTGCTTTATCAGCCATATCGCGTACCGTTATCGGACCCCCAACGAGTATGGTATGCGACTGCAATGCGTTTATGCGCATGCGCGTGCAATGTAGCACACGACGGAAAATAAATATTATATAAAATAAATATCGTTCCGTACAAATGAATAAAAATAACTTATGTAAATAAATACTTTTTCGTTTTCATTTGAGAATTTTATGTCATTTTTACGTAATACGTAATTCTGATTTATTGCAAAATTGACAATTATCGCTTAAAATCTATTCGTGTTTCTTTTTTTCTTTCCTTTTTCTTTTTTCTCTTTTTTGTCCTTTTCCTTTTCTAATTTTTCTTCTTCTTCTTCATTATTAACTTTATAATGGAGTATTTTAATTAATTTGAATAATATATGGTAGTAGGTTTGTGTATTATGTGGAAAAAAAAGAATAAGAAAAAAGAAGAAAAAAAAAAAAAAAGAAAAAAATAATTAAACACACGAACGTGAGATTTTTCTAAAATACGATGCATCGTTGATCGAAGGGCTATTAATAATTTCTTATCAACTTCGATAGATTTGTGATCTAAATTAAGATCCGTTATCTCTATGCTGTTGTCTCTATTGTCTCTATTTACTTTAAGGATACGATGTAGTTTAAACTCGTATTGCATTACGAAAACAATGATTTTTCTAGCGAAACACGGAAATTCCGAAATAAATAGGTAGAAATAATCTTATATAACTTGTTGATATCGTTTAAGCGATAGAAATCTTTAAGTTAATATCATTTACAAACTTTCCAGAAACATATGCGAGGCTATTGATAACACGAAGATATAAATACTTAGATGAAATGTCGTTAATTCAGTTGGGCTTTAGGATCCGAATAAAATAAATTTGCTTGAGACCTTATGAAGAAAAAAGTTAAGTATTGAAAATGCGTGGGATACTAATTCTTCTTTTGTGCCTTACCGTGGCCTCTTTGGTTATGGGCAATGAGTACGTCTTTGGAAAGCGCGAAGAAGATGATTTTACAATTACCGAGAGAATTATTATAAAGGTATGTATACATAAATAATTATAAATATAAATGACAATATTAATTATAAAAATAATTAAATATTATTTAGAAATTATATAAATCTAATGAATTAATTAACGTAATTCTTTCTAAATTTTAGCCAAAAATACCCGGTAAAAAGGCAGTAGTCAGAGCTGGAGCTCATACAAAAGATGTAATATCTTACATTCGAGTAAAAGATTTGCATAAATACAATTCAACAGTTATAATAAAAGATGGTGGAGTAAACTTACAGAATGTCCTTTTATTAATCATTGGAAATGTGGGAGAGGGATTACTTGTACGATTCGAAGTTCGTGGAGTGACAAAAAATACAACAGAACCTACTACTAGTGAAGAACCAACTAGCAGTCCACCTACCGAAGAACCAAGTAATAGTACAACTACTGAGGGACCAACTAATAGTACAACTACTGAAGAACCAACCAGCAGTCCACCTACCGAAGAACCAAGTAATAGTACTACAACTACTGAAGGACCAACCAGTAATCCACCTACCGAAGAACCAAGTAACAGTACTACAACTACTGAAGGACCAACCAGCAGTCCACCTACCGAAGAACCAAATAATAGTACTACAACTACTGAAGGACCAACCAGCAGTCCACCTACCGAAGAACCAAGTAACAGTACTACAACTACTGAAGGACCAACCAGCAGTCCACCTACCGAAGAACCAAGTAACAGTACTACAACTACTGAAGGACCAACCAGTGGTCCACCTACCGAAGGACCAACCAGTAGTCTACCTACCGAAGGACCAACCAGTAGTCCACCTACCGAAGGACCAACCAGTAGTCCACCTACCGAAGGACCAACCAGAAATCCACCTACCGAAGGACCAACCAGTAGTCCACCTACCGAAGGACCAACCAGTAGTCCACCTACCGAAGGACCAACCAGTAGTCCACCTACCGAAGGACCAACCAGAAATCCACCTACCGAAGGACCAACCAGTAGTCCACCTACCGAAGGACCAACCAGTAATCCACCTACTGAAGAACCAAGCAGTAGTCCACCTACCGAAGGACCAACCAGTAGTCCACCTACCGAAGGTCCAACCAGTAGTCCACCTACCGAAGGACCAACCAGTAGTCCACCTACCGAAGGACCAACCAGTAATCCACCTACCGAAGGACCAACCAGTAGTCCACCTACCGAAGGACCAACCAGTAATCCACCTACCGAAGGACCAACTACCAGTGAGCCTACCGAAAAACCAATTAGCACTACATCTACTGAAATACCCATCACCAGTACTACCGAACCACCAAGCATTAGTGTGTCTACCGAAGGATCAGGTAGCGGTACGTCCAGTGAACAAAAACCATAAATTAATCTTCGAATAAGGCGGTAATGGAGAATTTACTAACTGATCCAAACAGCAGTGCTCTCAATATTTTAAGCAATTGAATTAGACAAAATAAGAGAAAGAGAGAGAGAGAGAGAGAGAGAGAGAGAGAGAAAATATAATGAGAAGAATAAAGATAAATAAGATATGAATTCCGTGTCATGCGTTCGTAGATTAATTATCATGTAACTTTGGACATATGTAGATTGGATATATATATATATATATATATATATATATATCCAATAATATGGATTTATTAATAATTTTCTCTGTTAAATGAGAAAATGAAGTATAAGATGAAAAATATAATCTATTTCATTTAGTTTTAGATTTATTATTATAGATAAATGTACACACGTATATTAACATGAAACTTCAATTGAAACACATATTCTTGTTACACGCATTAAAACCATATTTTCATCGAGAACAATATTTCTTATTTAATTATTCTAATATTAACTTACATTATCTCCTCTTGTATTAATCATGAAACGAATTTATAAAAGCGAAATTTTATAATTCCTTTCTCAGTCATTCGAATCGTGGGAAAACGTTACATTTACAAAAATATACATATATATACATACATACATACATACATACATATATATATATATATATATATATATATATATATATATATATATATATACGCTACGCTCTAAAAGAAAAAAAAAAAAAAGGAAAAGAAAAAAAAAATTCAAATTTGAAATCCTCTGAATATAATATTTTGTTCCACGTTTATATATTTCGAGACATTTACTTATTATTATAACTAAGCTGCTTTTCGAACGATCATATGCAAAGGTAACTGTCCATACTGAAACCAATAAACTGCTGTTACGCTTTCCTAAAACTTTATGAAACATTCAAACTGCTAGGTTATTTCATATTCTATTATTTGAAAAATAACAAAGGAACGGATTATAACAATTTATATTATATCAGTTTACATCGACTTTACTTTGAGATAAGTACATATATGTTCCACCAGTTACTTTCATATATTGGACATTCTCGTTATATTTCCATTCTGTATTAATTATATAAAATTGAAAAAAACAAAAAGCAAAAAAAAAAGAAACAAAAAATAAAGAATTTTTACGATTGACGATTTTAAAAGACAAAAAAGAAACTCATCCGTATGAAAGACGTAAAAGAAATTCTTTAATAGATAAGATATATATATATATATATAGCTAAGTATGATAAACAATTTATACTTTTCAAATAATGACAGATCTCTGGAGTGATAAAAACGTGAGCCCGCGTATTCATTGGGAAATATGAAGTTGAAAATCGAACGAGGGAACGGAAAATGGGGGAAAAAAGAAGAAAAAAAAGAGAAGGGGGGAAAAAACATATACACACACACATACACACACACACACACACACACACATGTACACAAAAAAAAAAGTAATGTTTTATATCGAAACACACGCACCCCTTGTAATGTACGTTTTCATCACGTCGTCTCGGTTCAATGCGCGAATCGTCGGACCGAAAGATTTTAATTATTACCGTCGAATCTCTCTCTCTCTCTTTCTCTCTCTCTTTCTCTCTCTCTCTCTTTCTCTCTCTCTCTCGCTCTCTCTCTTTCTCTCTCCCTCTCACATTTGGACGCGCGAAGTCGTATATAATGATAAAATGAAATATGCCGTGATTGGAACGGTGCGTTTAATTTCGGACTGATAAGAGGAAACGACGGAAAAACGTAAAGCGGACTAAAACACGATTTAATTGCGATGTCATAAACAAAGTTAAAATTATTTCTACGTTTATTGTCAACGTCATGAGGTGTTAATTAAACGATAGAATAAAAATGATGTTGATGGGTACCAATAGGAACTTTATTCGTCTTTATATTAAACCCAAACCGGCAGATGATCGGTTAGATTATATTCCAAATGGAACATAAAAAATGGAATGTTTGATAAATAATATCGAAAGTATCGAAGTGCTATCTCGAACGGATGACTTGACCCTTCTTCAATCTGAAAAGTAAAAGAAGTTTCATTTAATTTGCGTCATATAAAGGATTATAGAATAAATAAATAAATAAATAAATGGAAAAGAAAAGAAACAAAACAAAACAAAACGAAATAAAACAAAAAAAGAAAGAACAAAAAAGAAAGAAAACAAGAAAAAGAAAGAACAAAAAAGGATAGAGAAGGAGGGGGAGGAGGAAAGAGGAAAATATCTCTGTTGTAACTCTCTCGAGTATTCTTAATTAAAATTCAAATTATTTCGCTTTAGCTCTCAAAGAACAATGACTCTTTTCGATTTGTCTATACGGCCGCAGTAATTCTTAATGTTAGAGGATCCCTGTAGTAAATGGGTAAAACGTTCTTTGACAAACGATCTCTTTTATAGGATCCCACAGAAAGTAATTCAAGAGTGCAAGGTCAGATTAACTAGCGTATGGTACTACGCGATAGAAGATACTTTCACAATCGATCGTATGAGTCCGTATACTACTACTTCTCATATAACAAAATTCCTGAGTTCCTTTTCCACACAGTACTATGTAACGTTAAACCATCGTCTTTCCTCGTAGAAAAGAAAATCGCCTATCTTTGTATTTGCTCTGAGCTCGAGCAACATTTTCAAATTTAATTTTCGTCGAAGTTTATCGCGAGGCGCGAGACGAGGGAGATGAATTGGAAAGAAAATGATACGTGAGAGATAAACGAGCTTGTTTTTCTTCTTTCTCCCTTTCTCTTTTCACTTAATCTCTCTATCTCTCTCTCTCTCTCTCTTCTTCCCTCTCTCTTTTTCTCTCTTTCATTCATTCTCAATCTCCCTTGGGAGAGAGTAGAAAAGAGAATAACCTTTATCATAATACAACCACATTCTCGTGGTTGTTAGTACTTCTTTTGTCTTTCTTTTTCTTTTTTCTCTTCGTCTCTCTTTCTCTTTTTTTTCTTTTCATTCTTTTTTTTTTTTTTTTGCTTTTTATTTTATTTATTTATTTTCTCACACGTCCCTCTTGAGAAAGAAAGAAGAAGAGAAATAAGAGAGAAAGAGTGAGAAGAGAGAGAGAGAGAGGTGAGATAAAGAGCCGTAGGTATAGAGAAAAGTGAGGAGGGAAAGAAGAAGAATAAGAATAAGAATAATAATAAGAAGAAGAAGAAGAAGAAGAAGAAGAAGGAGAGAGAAGAAGGGAAGACGCCTCGAGACGTAACGCCTTTTGTGATTGGTGGACGGTGGAGCTCGTAAATGTGAATTATTAAATTTGGACAAAGGTTTACGCCTCGACGATGTACTCGCGTAACTACGTGACCTGCAATAAGACGAGCGAATGGTACGAACTCCCTGTAATCAAGCGCAATCTCAGCGACTGCTTATTTACACCTCTCGGCACTTGTGAAAGCCCGTGGAACAAGGCACCGCAATGAGCCTCGCGTCTGCAAAAATCATAAACACGGTGTACGCGTTACTTCTCGCCGTAAGTTTTGAACGCGCGCATCGAAGATATTCTTTTACCCAGTTCCCGCTTAACCCTTAACACACTCCCTTTCCCCTTACCCCCACCCCCACCCCCCATCACGATTCCCATTCCCTCCTATATACCTTTCATTCCTCTACCAGCAACTTTCCCATTAGTACTTATATCTCTTTATATACTTCATCTTTATCTTTTTCTTTATCTTTGTATCTTTATATTTTTCTTCGTCTTTCTCTCTTTTTTTTTCTTCTTTTTTCTTTTTGTCGTTCTTTTTCTATTTCCATTTCCCTTCTTTCTTTTTCTTTTTTTTTTTTTTGTTCGTTCCTTTCCTACTTTCTTTCTTTCTTTCTCTCTCTCTCTCTCTCTCTCTCTCTCTCTCTCTCTCTCTCTCTCCATTTCTTTACTTACGTTACGCATTCATTTTCGTTCTCGGTAACGTAGAATTTAACTTCGATATGCGTTCGATCTCGTCCGTTACGAGATTCTTTGCCCCTCCCCCCATCCCTTTCTTCCCCTTTCTTTTCTCTATTCTTATACATTTCTTTTATTATTATTTTCTCTCTCTCTCTCTCTCTCTTTCTCTCTCTTTTGTCCTTTTCCTTTTTCTTTCACGTTTTCTCCTTCTTCTCTCTTTATTGCGCTTCAGGTGCAAACTGTTACGCGGTAAAAGAGAAGAGAAAGAAGATCGGCTCGTATATTTCTGATACTCGAAAAGGTTATTGGAATATTTTATCTCTTCCAGTCCTCGATATATAGGTTATATATGTATATATATATATATACGTATATAGGTGTAGGTATGTAATATGTAAAATTGAATATATTAAAATGCGTGTCTCGATACCAATGTTAAAATGATAACCCAGATATTTGGTTATTTCTTAAAAAACTGATTTATTTTCTAGACACAAAGAAATAATAACAAAAGGAAAGCGGATGGGTGGGGGTGGGTGGGGGGGGGGCGGGGAGAGCGGCGAGATAAAGAATTTCTCGTATATTTTATATCAATATTTAAACGATAAAACTTTAATCCCTATACACACTTAAGTCCCAATGCAAGAGTAAAGTATTAATTGCCAACGATTAATCGTAAATTAATTTTTTCTTTTTCTTCTTTTTTCCACTTTTTTCCTCTTCCACTTTTTCTTCTTCTTCAGGATTCGTATAATCCTATGGGATTTTTTTTGTGCAATCTGATCTCTGAAAAGGGATATAGGAAGGATAATTTCCGGTTTCGTTGTGTTTCTTTCCCAAAGGACTTTTTAATTACGGGCAGTGAAAGAGAGAAAGAGTGAGCGAACAAGAGAGAGAGAGAGAGAGAGAGAGAGAGGAAGCTTTGTAACGTTCGAAGCTGAGCGTCACGATCCAAAAGTCTCTTTTTCGAGGCGAACCTTTGTGCTTTTCAAAGAACCAGAAAATTGAATGTAAAGTTGGCAAAAAACTGACAGCAAGGGCGTTTTAAATAAAAGCCACGTTTCGTTTGTCTTCCCTTTGAAAATATTTTCCAGGTACTATTAGAACGTTATGCGTTATTTATAAATAAAAATTCTATTCTGTTTTGATTATTTTCAAACGAAATGACGAGAACGTAGGAACGACGAGAATGAAGAGAACAACGATCTTACACAGATCTAGTAGAGACATATGGATAATACGTTAGATGAG